TAGGAACTAGCTGACGTGACCTAATGTTTTTAATGGGCTGATGGCGTGGTTGGATGCCTCAACCTAGTTGAAAACAAATTCTCAAAAACGGCATGTTTAGCAATAATACAGCTAAACATTTTAGTCAAAGAGCAAATAAATCTACAAATGTAAAAAAATACAAAACAAAGACGAAAATCATTTACCTTGAATACTTTGTCGTGGCTTAGGCATGTTTTTAAAACAATTAGACCAGTTTATGCTTCAATATCACCCTTTTAAAGTGGAAAATATAGCAAAACAACAAAAATACCGAGAACTTTGGTAACATTCGCAATAAGCATGACGTCACGTTTTTCAACAAGGATGCAGTCAATGACGTCAGGAAGTTTCCTATCCAGTTATTTTACAATCCATGTTACGATATATGTGATTCTGCGATCGACACACGTAATATGCCAGCTGTAGTGCATGCGAAAACAACTACAACACCTGTGGATCCTTTGATGGACAAAATAACATTGAACTACCTATGGTGGTAGGACAAAACAGTATTAAACAGCTAGTGTACCCATGATGGTACACCCATATTTGTGGTAGGACAAAATAATAACAATCGACCCATTGTGGTGGAGCCCATTGAGGCACAAAATATCATTCGACAACCCATTGTGGTAGCTAGAGCCTACCAAGGGCAAGGCACAAAATAACATTGATCTGCCCATTGTGGCGTAAAATAACATTCAATTACCCATTGTAGTAGAGCCCATTCAGGCACAAAATAACATTCAACTACCCATTTTGGTAGAGCCCATTGAGGCACAAAATAACATTGAACTACGTACCCATTGTGGTAGAGCCTGTTGACGCAAAAAGTATCACTGATCTGCCCACTGTGGCAAAAAGTAACACTGATCTATCCATTGGGGTAAAGCATGATAAGCAATTCCAGCTTTTACTTTATGTGTGCAGGGGTGACGGGAAGTAAGGTATCACATTGCTGATTATGCTGAAAATTTTCATAAAAACTGCCGAAACATTTTAATATTTACAAGTATAAGCTATCACTCCGTGTTTACACGGCGACCATTTTAATTTTTTCAGCATAATCAGCAATATGATACCTTTACCCCCATCTCCCCCTGCACACATAAACTAAAAGTTGAGATTGCCTATTGCTACCAATTATTTTTTTCTATAGTTTTGCAATTCTGACGGATGTGAATGGTGCCATGTTAACTGCTGGATGAAACCGAATGGTTGTTACAGTCAAAATATAATATGGATATATTACATCGGATGTAAAAGGATGGGAGCTTCTGGATTAACAGAAATGTATTCCTATTAAAACAAGAATGTTGATTTATAAGATTGTATGGATATATTACATCTAATGCAAAGGGATGGAATCTGCTATGTATTATTAAATTACCGCCGTACCTGTACTTGTTTTCAATCTACCATATGGATGTCAGGAACATTGTATGTCATGATATTACAAACCTGTATATGTACAGCAACCTAACAAGTTATTGGACAATGATGGCCAACGATGGACACTACATGCTAAATGAATACGATAATCTACATATTGGACAAAAAAACAATGGTAACACTTGTTTACCAAATGAAAACAAACAAAAGACCATCATTACTTGCAACAAACTTAATCGTACCACATTAAAAGACATATATATTTGTTCTTCCTAATTATTTTCTTCAGGACAGTTTCACAAGTGAAGACTAAGTAATGATTTTTATTGATATTTAATTTAATGTCAGTTTAAATAACATGACATTGTATAAATATAAAATTCCGAAGTACACTTTACAGTATGTAGTAATTATTGCATGCTGTAATTTCGATACTTTTTTGAACAAAATAAATTCATTCATACAGTGTGTATAAGGCAATTTAAATAAATGAATTTTATTGGTATAACTAGTATACCTATCAGTAGTAAATGCTGACTTGCTTCTTAATTTGACGATACATCAAAAACGGCCTCATCTTTCCATATTATTATAACAACCTAACTTTACAGTAAATACAATCGTAAGCTTCTAACCCGTCGTAACTCGTAACTGTAAGCTCAACACTAACTTAATCGTTGTGACGTTATTATTGTATAAATATTATGAATAAATCTTTGATTCTGTCACAAATATATTTCTTTGATCCAGACCGTAACCACAACCCACCCTAACCATGGCATTATTGTGCGCGAAACGTGAGAAATTATTTCTTAATCATACTATATTCTACCGTTCCTCTAATATCTGTGACATCAGAACTTCATAAACTTTAATAAGTACCACTCCCTAAAAATGGCTTTTCAGTGATACAATTTAGAAAATATATTACAATATGATTTATAAAAAAGTTATATACTCATCTAGAATTACTCATATGCACTGAGTAGTTGTTTATATAGTTTATGTTTAAAAGATTGAAGTGATTTCTCTGATTTGAACTCTGGTAACAACGAGTTCCATAATTTGGCTCCTCTAAAACTAAAAGTTCGCTGTCCTGTGACAAGGCGACAAAGAGGCAAATGTAAATCACTAGTGTTTCTTGTAACTCTGGAATGTACTCAGTGAGCGAAGGAGGTGTTAGATTATGTAAAGATTTAAAGACGATTATAGCATCTCTAAAAGTTCTTTAAGTTCTTTGAAAGCAGGAGATACATGATTGTACTTTCGTAAGCCAACTAATATACGGGCAGCAAAGTTTTGTACACGCTGCAGTTTTTTTACATTCTCTTTCGACGTGTTGCTCCATACAGAAGAGCAGTAATATAATCTGCTAAACACTAGAGAATGTATCACAAGTAAAAGTGTTTAGCGATCCAAAAGATGTTTCACGCGATTAATCTGAAATGATGAATACATGCATGAAAGTATTGGTGCTAAAGGAGCAGTTAATTAGACTAGTTATCGTAGACGAAATAACCGGCAAGCAATCTTTAATCACTCTGACTGGCAATTTATCAGGTCCAGAAGCCTTGTTGGCAGGTAGATCTTTAATGACTTTCACAACTTCTTGTTCAGAAACTTCATGAAAAGAAAACTGAATTTCAGGAGGATTTTCAGTACGTTGCTCATAAATTATCTCTAGGTTATGCTCCTTGGCAATCTCGCAAACCTTTATGGCAGTAGATCGACCAAGTGATGTGAAATATTTATTGAAGTTATCCGCCAACTGACTAGAATTGTGTTGCGCAGGTAATCGCGATTTACGAGGTAAACAATCATTGATCGTTTTCCATAGAGACCTCGAGTTTCCATAGTTTGAATTTATCTCATTTCTTTCATATTCCTTCTCTGCAACTCTTATTTCTTTTTTGACCTCTTGTCTAAAAAACCGATAACCGTTCCAATCGCGCTTGTCTTTAGACTTAACAGCTCTACGGTACCATTTATCCCTCGTCTTCATTAATGCACGAAATTCATGCGTTACAAATGGATTAGGCTTCGATTTTAATTTGATACGCTTTACAAGGGCATGAATATCCAAAATATCCGTAAACAATTTGTTAAATAAGCCAAGTTTATCATTAACATTGTCAAAAACATCAAGTACACTCCATGGTACGAGCGAAAGATCGTTTACAAACGATTCCTGTCGATAGTTTTTGTTTCGTTCCCCGCAGGAACGAAACGGTACTGTATTTGGTTTCGAGCAATTATCACAGGAAAGTGACGTCAGAGATTAAAGTTATCCAATCCTTTGCCAGTATTCTTGCTCAAACGTCAATTACATTTAGAATCGTCCAATGAGATGACCGCTCCTAGCATAAGAAGTTTTTTGGAGGCGTGGCGTATAATTTTGGAAATCTTAGTTAATTATATATCAACCTATGAGAACATGCTAACTTAACCTGAAGTTCAGGCCCTAATTTTAAATAGGGTTTGACACAAAACCTGTCTAGACAGTGACGCTCACATGTTATTTTTAGACACAGCATGCAATATGATTGACAAGTGTTATACTGTAGATTTCGTTACACAAAAAAATTATATTCTCATGAACATGTCCGCAGAGTGTGCATTTTGCTTTTTAATTAAACTTAAAAATTCAAGATACTTTTATATAATTAAGAGTCGGTTTCTCTATTTAACCGAACAGCAAACGAAGATTCAATTAGTCAGTTCTGTGTACAGCTTGACTGCCAAGCTTTCTCAAGGTCTCAACTTGCTGGACGCGGATATATACCAAGGATATACTTTAACGGGCTAACAACAGCAACAATAAAATTCTCAATCGTACCACGAAGAAGGCGATGTAGCTCAGAAAACAACGCCGGTAGGACCTGATATTAAAAATAAGACTTTTGCCGGCGAAGCCAGTTGGCAGAACATCTTGGCTGTCAACAACAAACTTTCAAATAGATGACTAGTTTGGCTGTTCTTTCAGTGTCGTGTGTCCAAAATTCGTCAAAGATTTTGATAAAGACCTTCAAAATACTATTTGTTTGATTTATTTTCTGCCATAAAGCATATAAAAGAAAAGAAATTCGAAGAAATCGATAATGGATTTGTTACGTGCATTTGACCTTTATATTATTATTGTCCCCTTGAGCCCTTCACCGAGCTATTTTTAAAACTGTTGTTTATGTGAACTTGCAACCAATCACAAAATCTTAGGGCCTGAACAGCTGAACTTCAGGTCAAAATCTACAGGCACGATGATTTATATTTGAAGTATTCAAGCGCCAACAGCGGTATATATTTATTATATAGTTTCTTCATTTTAAATACTACAACTGTATTTCTGGACCGCTCGGCCCCTCCGGGTAATGAAAATTTATAGAACCCGCCCGCCTCACAAAATGAACCAATTTCATTGCTCGACATATACAAGTGATCTATGGTCACAACCGCTAATTATACAGACGTCTGGTATTTCTATAATTATATTGGAACGAAACATTATTTCTTTTTTAAAGAAATATTTTCTTGTTGGAAAATTACTTCGCTAATGAACTTACTAGATCGATCGTTTTTGAAGAAATTTAAAACAGTGCGTGTTTTATCAGACCTAAATATACTCGGCTTCGTCTCGTATCTCTATATCTGATAATATACTCCTGCTCGTGTTTTAAACAGTACTTTAAAACACGAGCAGCAGTGTTTTATCAGATATAAAGATATGAGGCGAAGCCGAGTATCTTTAAGTGTGATAAAACACGCACTGCGAATGTTTTAAATTGCTTAAAAAACGATCGATCTAGTAAGTTCATTGGCGAAGTAATTTTCAAAAAATACCGCGTTGTGTAAGTCGAGAAAATCAAAGTTAAAGTTTATGTAAATCAAGGGAAATCTCTATCACATACAAAGATACGATACGCTTATGATTTTTCGTTGTGTTTTCCTCATGAATTATTGAGTTTTTGAAAATCTAATAAACATTTTGGGCGTTTTTTAGATCATTTATGTTATCCTTTCATTTCTATAGTTGATTTCAGTTTTGTTGTGTTTTTTTTTGTCACCAGTATATAGAGATACATGAACAGTTCAAATCGAAAACAGCCCATAGGACATATAGACTTCATAATTAACATATAGACTTCATAATTAATATATCATTGTTGCACTTGTATTGTAGTATTAGGGAGCTTAAGATACTGTACACCAAATCTACGACGCGAACGTGCCGAAAAACTGCCGCTATTATCACAGTTTCACTTCATGGGTAAAAACTATGGATTGTTGTTCGTAAACAAAGCCAGGGACACGAGAAAAACAAAGCAAAACTAGTCTCCAATTATTAGCGACAGTTTTTTGGTTTTAAAAGCTCCCTATTAGCAAACTAAGCGAAATATATCATCTGCTTGGAAAAACGTTTGATTTCATTTTTAATATTGTGTTGTTAGTTTCATCCACGCCTGCACGGCGACAATCTTCCACCGGAAGTGTATTCTTGCTGAAGGCGACAGAGTAAGTACATACAGAGGTCTTAGCAAGTGGCCTAAAGAGAAGCATTCACCCCCCCTGGAACATTAAATCTCAATATGTTTTCAGGGGGGTGACGGCCTCTCTTAGTGAGACCTCTGTATGTAATAAAGTGAGACCTCTGTATGTAATTACTCTGTGACCAAACACCGAAGATGATCTCCTTTTGTAGTCGCACTGGAATGATAGGAAGTTTAAGCTTCACGTTTCCGGGAACAGCAAAGGGCAGGTTCGACCTTTCTTGGCAAAATTTTCGTTGAACGTTTTCGTTTCATATTTTCTTTCTTGCGTCGAAAGGATAGTTATGTATATGTACTTCAGTTTTAAAACAGCAAGTTTATTTACTCTCTTTGCCCGGCGTTTGCTGTTCGACGTATAACGCGAAGCTTAAACTCTCTAGAACGCTATACATTGACCACGTTTTATACTGTATTGACTTACCTTTCCTGGCCCTGTATAATTACATTGGGTGTTATTCGGACAGTTTCCATTATTTGTTTGACAAGGATCAATTGCTAAATAAAATAACAATAAAATGTCATGCCTTCAGTGACGTAACGGGGAAAGAGGGGGCCCGGCATATTTGGGGTGGGGGCCCTTGTAGACTGTTGTCATTGTTCGACTGAGATATTATTCTATTTATATTGAATATTTAAAGAATGTTCAGGAAAATTCCGTGTTAATAACAATAACAGTCCACAACACATGTAACAACTAACAAGAATAACTTTTGTTTTATTTGAGGTGGAATAAGAAAATCAACTACCGTTGTCGATGGCGGTTTTATTATTTAGCATTATTAATTTTGTATTTCCCAATTGATTTTTAACCTGCATTCTTTATGTTTTCTAATTTTCTGGGAGATAGGCCGTGGCTGATGGGGGCTCCTATAAAGCCTTGGGCAAACTAGGACGAACTGTTGCGGAAAGATTGTTTCCTGCCGATGTTTCGCCATGTTTCCCAAGGTGGGCAAACACTAGGAAACAATGTTTCCGCAACAAAAATCGCACTTGGGAAACATGAAATGTTTCTGAATTTGATAGGAAACATTTCTGCTTCTCGGCAAGCAAATTGTGTTTCTGCAACGATGTTTCCACGGGTGGGCAAAACACAGAAACACTTGGGGAAACATGGCGAATCACAATGTTTCCGCAACAATGTTTCCTAGTTTGCCCAAGGTTGAACTGTTGAGGGCCCTTAGTTTTTGAACTAACCCTATCCAATGTGCGTTACGCCACTGGGAAATTCCCTTCACAATTATTTCATTTCTTTGATTGCATTATTTAACGAGGACAAACTTTTGTCACGATTTAACGATTAACGACACCTTTTATGTACTATTTCAAACACGAGCAGGAATGCTTTACCAGATACAAAACACGAGAGAGCATTATAAACACGAGTGTATTATATCTGATAAAACACAGACTGAGAGTGTTTTAAATGGCTTAAAAAATGACCTCATGAGCTCATTGGCGAAGTAATTTTGAAAATCAACGTTGCCTAAGTCGAGAAAATGAAAGGTAAAGCCCAGGGCAAACTATGAAGCATTGTTGTGGAAACATTTGTGATTCTTGATGTTTCCTCAAATATTTCCCTGTTTGCCCACCCGTCCCGAGAAGCAAAAATGTTCCCTAGCAAATTCAGAAACATTTGATGTTTCCCTATGTTTCTCACTAATGCTTCCTAGTGTTTGCCAACTCTTGGAAACATGGCTTAAAGATAATTAACCCTACTCCCACCTCAAACTCGTACCCAGGGCCTTATAAGAGATTTTTGAACGAATGCGTACTGACGAAGCACACAAGTTACATTCCCTTGTCCCTTCCAATCGGGATACAGAATATTCCCTTCGGGGTGGTAATAACAAACTATCAATACCTAGGTGTAGAACTAATAGATATGCAAACAGTTTCATAATTGCTGGAAGTAAAGCTTTTAACATTAGTAAAACTTAATATAATTAACCATGTAATTATTACTATAATAATTCTTATGACCTGATTGTATTTTGTATTTTAATCCTTTTAATCTGCTAAATCGGTCTTTCTAATAAATCTATAAATCTATAGTGACGGCCCTGGGTATTATTTAACGAGAAGTCCACTCAGAAATTTAGTATCCTTTAAAGGACGAAGTCTGTAAGTTATATATTAATTAGTGCAGTACGTAAAATTGTGAAGAAGTTGAACTCAAATGATTGAATACACATGTACTACACAAGAGTTTACCTGGAGTTTATACATCGATATATCACCACTATCAAATAAAACAATTTATTACCTGTACAGACCACGCCATCTCCTCTGTAACCTTGGTGACAGACGCATTCGTGTTGCCCAGGTCCTGTTTTATTACACACTGCATTTTTTCCACACAGACCATTGGAGAATTTGCAAGGATCAATTTCTGAAAATTTTACATCAACACGTTTCAATACAAATGGTTTTACATTTAATAGACAATTCCCATTATAGACTAATTTTAAAACTACATGTATATAGGCAAGGAGATGCAAGCAAATCACCACAGTTAGAAAGAGCATACTAAAATGAGTAAAATTGCAAAGTGTGGTCGCGAAATGTTGTAAAATGTGGAAAATATAGCCTTGCAAATACTACCACATTTTGGGCGAAAATGGCAGCAATTTCCGCACGCAATACAAAAGTATATACAAAATTTGCAAACTTTGCAAGGCTATATTTTCCGCATTTCGCAACCAAACTTTGCAATATTACTAATTCTAGTATGCTCTTTCCGGGAATATACTTTTTGCTAAAGTAAAAAATGAGTCTATAATGGGAATATATTGTCTATTGGCTTTGTCAATTATTCTCCGATAAATCGACTGATCTCTAATTTATATTGGACTATAGACCCAATGCCGGACGATTTCCCGGGGTACACATGTATAATCTGAGTATCAGGCCCTCATGTTTTCATTCGACGAGAAAAATAAAGCCTGATACTCAGGTTAACACATGTAAAAACGCACATGTTTTAACAAACCTGCAGCAAACTTATAGCAATGCTGTTCCAGCAACTTGTCAACAGGATGTGTTCGCACTGCTTGTTCCCAGCTTGTTGACAAGTTGTCAACGCGGCTTTGTCGACAACTTGCTAAAAGGTTGTTGAGCTCAACAGATTTGTTACAAGCAAGAATGTTCGGTATGAGAAATTTCCGGTATCGGTATACCGAAAAAATTATACCGATATTATCGGTATATACCGGTATTCCTTTGATAATTATAGGAGGATTCTTTAATGGAAGTTTGAAGGAAATTTTGAGTATTTCTAAAAGGAAACGATAATTTCGAAGCTGTTTCGAACGACATGCACGTACTCAGTGGAGCGCATGGAAATCTCACTCACTGAAAATCAATCTCACTGAAGTGGAAATTCTAAATCATTGCAGTAGAAAGTTCTTTGAATTGCCATTCAGTAGTAAAATAAAGGTTATGGTTTCGCCATATAGTTGGTAAATTTAACACGGTATACCGAATTCCGGTATGTCGAAAATTTCGGTATGTCGCAAATTTCGGTATATCGGTATGGTTGAATATCCGATATCGATATACCGATATTAATTTAATACCGATATTTTCGGTATATCGGTATACCGAACAGTCCTAGTTACAAGTTGTTCCAACAACTTGTTATCGTCCTGCAATTCAACAATTTGTCAACACGTTGTGAGTGACAACCTTGTAGCAACTTGATAAAATAACAATGTCACAACTTGTTGACAAGCTTGCTGCAAGCTTGTCACAAATTTTTACGTATGTAGCACATGCAAAAATCTCGCATCTTGTAGCAAGTCTGCCAACAAGCCGTCAACAAGTTGTGTTCGCACTGCTTGTCCCAAGTTGTCAACAAGTTTGGAACAAGCTGTTAACAACTTGTAACAACCTTGTTGATATTATCAGACTTGTCACAAGGTTGTTCCAACACGTTCGATGGAATCATGATATAACAATATTGTTACAACCTTGTGTCGTCAACCTTGTAACATTCTTGTTATATTATGACTGTACATATCAGACTTGTTACAACATGCAACCTTGTAATAACAAGTCTGATAATGCCATCAAGCTTGTTACAAGTTGTTAACAGTTTGTTCCAAACTTGTTACAACAACTGGGAACAATTAGCGAAGACGAGCCTTTGCAATTATCATTGGAATCTACAGGCGATGGCAAATACAATAATTAACAATTATTCGCCGAAGGCGAAGTGATTACCGGTGAATATTCACCGAGACGAAGTCGAGGTGAACATTCACCGTAATCACTGAGCCTGAGGCGAATAATTGTTTTAGTATAAATTTTTAATGAATAAAACAAAATATCCAAGTTATCCAACTATAAGTTTAATCAAAATTCAGAAATAAAACTGTTTTCGATCGGTTCACGGTTTAGTGTTGCAGTGTTTCTTGTACACGCACGCTTTCAAAATGGCTTCCTGTGCGACTTTATTGCTTTATTTAATACAAAGTTATTTTTCTCGATTTCTGCTTAGAATATAAACACAATAATGGAATGACTTTTTTGCCAGACTTAGAATTAAAAAATAGTTTCTGTTTAGCATTAATTTGTTCAGGAAATGGCTGAGAAATTTGGTAAAATGAAATGTAAAACTATATCGTTCGCATTAATATAAAAGTTTTAATACACTTTTCACTTTACAAGTTTTAAAAACACAAATAGTACAATACAGCGAAAGGACACCATACAGCACAATGAAAACACGACATAGTCGAAAGAAATAGTATCGTACAAATTGAGATATTTATAGGATACAAAACAAAATTGTTTTAAAAAGAATACCACGGCTTTTCCCAAAAGTCGGGATATTTTTTGCTATTTCAGATTTACGTTTGAAGCGAATGTTTCGGAGTTTTAAATAAGTTTTAAATTGTCTGTGAATATGTTTGACACAGTAATATAATACTAAATCCTACCTTTCAAGTTAAATACAACATTTTGTGCTTTTTTTTCTTTTTCTGGGACGATTTTTTCAATGTTTTGTCGATTTTGAAACCAAATTTGCCGAATCATTCTTTTTGAAAAGCATTATTTACTACCCAGGTGGTAAATAATGCCTCAGATTTACTAGTCAACTAGCCAATCAGAACGCGCGAAAGCTCATTTGATATGCAAAATTTATACTAAATATTTGTTATTAATGCAATTAATTTCTTTATATTTTAACGATTCGTTATCTACGTCCCATATGATCATATCTTTTGTATATAACACTTTAGATTGACCCTTGTCATATGTAAACATAAACAAAAAGCGCGCAAAGCATTACCGTGAGACTCATTCTACAACAATGCTATTTTCGGAAATGGGTCTACAGGGTGTATAAAAAAAAGGAGACCTTTAGCAATCAAGCATATTGTTAAAATTTGAATGCCTTTTCAATTGCACATATGCTGAACCGTGGTGCGTGAAATATTGATGTTGTGCATATATTCGAAAAAGGAGACCTTTAGAAATAAACCGTTGTTATAATTTCAATCCTGAAGCACTTTGCTAAGCCAACGAGTGAGTAGCATGCGATCTACGTACAGTATGCATGGCAGATTGTTCCCAGGAACAGACAATCTTTTGTTTAAACGTTATTTCAACTTCTATAAAGGTCTCCTTTTTCTAATATATGCACCCCATCAATATTTCACGCACTACGGTTCAGCATATATGCAATTGAAAAGGCATTCAAATTTTAACAATATGCTTGATTTCTAAAGGTCTCCTTTTTTATACAGGGTGTCTCAAAAAAACCCAAAATCATTGAAATTGACGTATTGTTCGATATTCAATGCCCTAGCACTAAGTTAATCCCACGAGTGCATAAAAGATTGACATAACTGCTATAATGAATGACTCACCGTAAACTTGTTATGTCAGGCACAATACGTTATTTCAATGATTTTGGTTTTTTTTGAGACACCCTGTATACATCCTGTACAGTATAAATATAATGTACCTGTACAAACAACTCCGTCGCCGGTATAACCCGGATTACACGTGCACAACATGGTATTTTTATTCTTGTAGCAATGTGAATTCTTGGAACATTTTTTAATATCACAGCTTTTCGCATCTGTTGAAAATAGAGTAATAATTTATTGTATATTGTTCAGGTGGGTTTTACTGCAGTGGTTGCTTTATATAAAGGGAGTGCATGTATTGCAAAAAATTAAACAAAATCTTACTTTTAAATGTGTGAG